GTGTGTGTGTGTGTGTGTGTGTGTGTGTGTGTGTGTGTGTGTGTGTGTGTGTGTGTGTGCTTTCTGTTGTCTTGTGCTGTGCCTCCTCCTGGTGTCCATGTTGTATTATGTGTCCATGCTCATCTCGTTCCCCAGTCTTATTCAGCTCCTTCCTGATCTTTTTCTCACACCTGTCTTCACTCTTTAATCACTCAGCTGTCTCCACTTTCCACTCAGCCTCTGTTGCTTTTTATTCAGACTTTGCTCTTTCATTGCCGTTCTCTCACCCTCATGGTCCCTTGTGTTTTCTACCTGGCTTCACGTGCTCATGTACTCTAAGTTTTTGCTGCCACGTCAACTTTGTTTTTGTTAATAAATTAATTTGTTTTCAAGCTCCTTGTTTCTGTCTGCATCTTGGGTCTGAACCTTCTGAGAATTCTGACAAAACCAAAGTTAAACTGAATGTTTTACAGATCTACAGCTGCTTGAAGCTGCATTTCTGTGACGAGAGTTCTTTTGGATTTATTTTGCAGTTTTAACGTACAACCATGTCAAATTCCATTATCTATAAATAACAAAAGTCAAGACATTTTAAAAATATATTATCCAACATCTTGAAGTTCTGCAACTACTGCGTATTTGTAAAACCAGGAACAAAATCATCCCACCACTGGGAGGCTTGGTTAAACACCCAGCCTGTTGGTTTGTGGCGCTTACTATTCAGGAGATTCATGTGAAGCACACAACATATTTATTAATAAACCTTATTTAATAAACATTACATACTTGTATGCTTGGCTTCTTTCGTTGCTTGGCTTCTTTTGTATAGCCCACTAGAAGATTAGCATTAGCTTACCCTCAGACGTCTATCTCTTCAGCTTCATACTGCTTTAGAACTCCCCACGCTCTCCAGTACTTCTCCAGAGTGTTTTGTCTCGCTGCTTGCTTCCTTTTCCTGGTCAGTTCTTTTGGAATCTGGCAAAAAGCCGCAGAATGTTTAACAATGCTACCATGTCCTCCGTTGTTGTGTTCGGTGTCTTCTTCTTCTACTACGTTTAATGGTGGCTGGCAAATAGCTTAATGGAGCATTGCTGCCACCAGCTGGCAAAAGTTTGTGATGTCAATTTTCAGACTCTGGGACCACCCAACCTTGCACTGAACCCACCCACAAGAGCTGCTCCTTAAGTGTAATGGAAAACTACGCGAACCATGTTGAACGGAGTTGAGCCCAGTCAAACCATGCTGCAGAGGCACTAGTGGAAAAGGTGCATCCATCCATCTGTCCGTTCGTCCATTTTCTTCCTCTTATCTGGGGTCAGGTCACGGGGGCAGCAGCCTAAGCAGAGAGACCCAGACTTCCCTCTCTCCAGCCACGTGGACCAGCTCCTCTGAGGGAATCCCAAGGTATTCCCAGGCCAGCTGAGAAACATAGTCCCTCCAGTGTGTCTTGGGTCTTCCTCTGGGCCTCCTCCCAGTGGGATGTGCCCAGAACACCTCACCAGGGAGGTGTCAAGGAGGCATCCTAACCAGATGAACCACCTCAACTGGTTCCTCTCGATGTGGAGGAGCAGCGGCTATACTCTGAGTCCCTCCTGGATGACTGAGCTTCTCACCCTATCTCTAAGGGAGAGCCCAGACACCCTGCAGAAGAAAGTCATTTCAGCTGCTTGTATCCACAGTCTTGTTCTTTTGGTCACTACCCAAAGCTTTTGACCATAGATGAGGGTAGCAACGTACACCCACTGGTAAATCGAGAGCTTCTCCTTCTGGCTCAGCCCTCTTCACCAAGACAGACCGGTACAGTGCCAGCGTCACAGCTGATGCAGTACCAATCTGCCTGTCGATCTCTCGCTCCATTCTTCCCTCATTCGTGAACAAGACCCCGAGATAATTAAACTCCTCCACTTGGGGCAGGACCTCCTACCCGACCCGGAGACGGCACACTACCCGTTTCTGGCTCAAGACCATGGTCTCAGATTTGGAGGCACTGATCCTCATCCCAGCCGCTTCACACTTGGCTGTGAACCGCTCCAGCGAGAGCTGGAGATCACGATCTGATGAAGCCAATAGGACCACATCATCTTCAAAAAGCAGAGATGTGATCCTAAGGTCACCAAAAAGGATCCCCTCAACACCTTGGCGGTGCCTAGAAATTCTGTCCATAAAAGTTATGAACAGAATCAGTGACAAAGGACAACCTTGGGGGAGTCCAACTCTCACCGGAAACAAATCTGACTTACTACCTGCAATGAGGACCAAACTGTGGCACCAGTCGTACAGGGACCTAACAGCCCGTACCAATGGGCCTGGTACCCCATACTCCCGGAGTACCCCCCACAGAATTCCCCGAGGGACACGGTCGAACGCCTTCTCCAAATGCACAAAACACATGTAGACTGGTTGGGCGAACTCCCATGCACCCTCCAGGACCCTGCTGAGGGTGTAGAGCTGCTCCAGCATTCCAGTGTTAGATTTGAGCATCAAGTTACCTAATCTTCTTCAAAATGCCTGGTGCACAGCTTCTGCCAACATTTCAGGTTTTAATAAGTGATCTTCAGTCCAAAATAATACAGTAGCACCCTAGGAGCTTATTCCAGGTTGCTAAACAAATTTTGCCCATGTAACAAGTGCAATTTGTCGTAAGGAAGGAGAGCTGCCATAACGAGGTGTGGCCAATGGGTCCTAGCTGGRATCTGGGSTACAAGGCCTGGCTRACCTAAYGGATGAAGCAGGGTGTGACCTTCTGATTAAAATCATTCAGAGGCTGATTAATTGCCTTTGTACTAGCCTGAACAGACTTCTCTCACAYGTTTTGGATAATATTCAGCAAAGAAGACAAAGTTAGACCCATGGGATGGAGGACTAGTGATTGAGCGCTCTCCCTGAAAGGGGAGGGGCTCGTTCAGACGAAGGCAAACTACAGTGAAATGATAAAGTCTGGTTGYGAAGAACAACAGGAAGTTGAGTGAAGCAACATTGTGCAGTTCATCACTTTACCACCAGAGGGAGACAAACCCTCATCATCCTTGTTTGCCAAAGACTGCTGGGAGTTTTAAGCTGACAGGAACTTTAACAACAAAAAGATAAAGTTCTGACAGAAATAAGGGGGACTACGACATGCTGGCTTGTTTAACAGTTTTTTGTCACTCAGCAGGAGGAACAACGTGCGACTCAAAGCATAAACCAGTCTTTAACCTCTCCAAAGACACACTGCTCAACACAGGAGAGAGAGACTCAGCTGTGCAGCTACGTCTTAAATAGGACAATCTTCTGAGAAAAAAATAATCCTGCATTAGACCAGTGGTTCTCAAACTCTTTCTGCCGGGGCCCCCTTTGAATTATAAACAAACTTCTTAGACCCAGCCCTTCGTTCCCACCCCATCCCACACACAATCTYCAACCAGACAGATATTTTGTTTTGAAACTCCACTGCAGTTTATTGCACAGATCAGCCTTTTTGAACAAGAGAACAATAAAAGTAAACTGACATTAATTGTATGTTGTAATTAAATAAACTACAACCTCTTAAATAAAAAAACAACAAATCACCTTATTTGTGTCATTATTTTGAGTGTAAGAGTTTTTTATTGTGACAATATTCAACATTGCTATCTAAGATGTTTTTTTTTTTACTGCTTATACATAATGGGTTTAAAAACATGAAAAGCATCTGGCTCCTGTGCTCCTCTCAACACAGGAGACGAGGACCCGGCCATCAAAACGTGAAAACGTTGAATGGTCCTCAGCGTCATTAATGAAGAAGAAAAAATGTCGTTTTAGATTCTGAATCTTGATGTGATACATTTCTTGTTCCTGTTCTAAATTATTTGTATTTTTGTCATTTAGAACGAGGACTGACGTCTTCTGCAGATAAAGAACCTAATGCTCAAAATAGAGATGGATTTTACTTCTATTTTCTTTTTTTAATTCACAAACGCACACTGKTTGTCAATGCCCTGACTTATTAAAGTAAATAAATATAATAAATAAAAATTAACAAGTAGTTTTTATTTTCATTTATTATTAGGTCAGCAGAAAAGAGAAACTAAGAAGATTTGACACTTGCCATTATCACGAATTTGAAGGGGCAATATGATGTAAAATCAACGTTTTTGAGATTTATATCATGTTATAATGTTATCCTCTCAAGAAAAAGTCCTGATGCATCTCAGTAATCCAGGTAAAAAATCAAAAGGAAAAAAAAATTGTGTAGGTCTTCTGGACGGGTTCTTCTCTAATGAAACGTTTCGTCTCTCCTCCAAGAGACTTCTTCAGTCTGAGAGTTTCAGGCTAAATTCAGGCTTTTGAGCCCTGCCTCCATGTGACTGATACTCACGCGGGTGTTTCGGAGAAACTGAGATGTTTATTTTCTAAACATGATGTCCCAGTAGCTTTCAAACCCCAAAACACATTA